CTGTTTTACCACAATAAAAACATTTTCTGTTATTGCTGTTCGCTTTTCCTTTAACTTGTTTCTTCCCTTTTCCTTTGGTGTTATTCCATTGCTTTTTGTTAAAATTTTTGTTCTTATTAAAATTGGAATGACTGAAGTTGCTTACACCTTTAGCATTTAGTTTTTGATTTGATGAAACACCCTCAACATGGTATACATCCTTATGTTCAGATTTTAATTCCAGTTCTTTATTCAGTAGTGAACTGTGAATTATTTCAACAGTAAGATCACTCCTACCATACTCTAGAGCATTTTTAATATCTTTATATTTGTCTCCTAGAGCATTTAGTAGGCCAACTACCCTCTATTCATCAGAGATCTTCTCATCACAATTAGCCAAGTCTTGTGTGATCCTATTAAACCTATCCATATTGTCTCCTATATCAAGGTTAGGATCAAACTTAAAGCTAAAGAACTGTCTCCAAAGAAAACATTTGTTTGGGACAGTTTTAGTAAGGTAGTGTTTTTCTAAGGCAGTCCACAATTCTACAGCTGTCTTAGTCTCTCCTACTTTCCTAATCACATTGTCAGATAAGTGTAGGAACAAAGTGCTCCAAGCTAATTCATGTTGTTCAGTTTTCCTGGCCTCAGCCATGGTTTCTGGCCAAGATTCATCAATAGCTTTAGCACATTTCAACTGTAACATAAGTGCTTTTATTTTCTGACGCCAGAGACTAAAGTCTCCTTTGCCATCCCAAACTTGGACATCTACCTTAGAGTTAATGATGTGTACTAGTGTAAGATATCTACAAATTATGATAACAGAGGTGTATCAAGGTATTTATTCAATCAACAGTATATCACAAAAGGTCACTGTCTTATTCCAATTTCTGATTTTCAGTTAGTGCATAAGTGTGATATGTACAGTAGGTATAACACACAGTTTAATGCACAATTAGTATACAATTCACTAAACATGCAATGGAATATAGAAGCACAAACTTACACACAGTAAGCTATAAAGTATAGTATATGCGATGTATGTACCTTGATTGCAATTAAACTCAGGAATTTAACACCTGAGAAAATCAACTTGAGTATTAGTACAATTCACACAGAATGTACAACTATTTGATTAAGGAAATAGATATTAGGGATCTATTTTTCACACACACAGTGAGAAAGATCCAAACAGTTTTTCAAAAGATTTACAGGTTTCTTGAACCGAAGCCCTAGTCCCCAAAGTTTCTAGGCTTCTCTCAGGGAACCCTAGACAGAGGTAGAGTTAGGATAGGTTCAGTGAAACCCAAGGTTTGAAAAAAAAATTTTATTTCCAAAAACAACACCCTTTTAAAAATTATATGTATCAACAATCAGGTTATGCAATACTCAAGGATTATAATACACTGCAGTAACCAAGAACATCAAGAACATGTACTTCTTTCAATAAGATCACAACCCTTGACTACGGAACACAAAGAACTGCAGATTTCAGAAGGGACACCAAGGGATTTACACGGTTTTTGAACCAACAATAACCACAAGAAAATATTTTTCTGTTAAAACAATTTTAAAACAGAAACAGGAAAGAAGGAAAAAAAAACCAAAATCTTTCAGAAAGGATCAACACCAAGACTCGAAGGTGTAGAAGTGCACTAAATAGTGCCAAACTTCAATCGAACACTGAGTCGAATATTCCTCAACAGGAAATGTTGGCAGATCTTCTAGATCTGCCGTTTTATCTTTGGCCAGCGATTAGGGTTTTCAAACCCGTAACTAAAAGTTTGAAAACAAAACAAAAATTTCCAAAAGAGCTCTGATACCACTGTAGGACCAAGGATCGTTTTCGAAACAACGAAAAATCACAAAGGACTAAGATCAAAAATGTAAATCTGAACTTAAAGCAGTAAGAACACAAAGCGATTTTTCGGCCGAAGCCCCGAGGCTCAGCGATTGGTTAGATCGCCTAGTCCCCGTTGAGCATCCACAAAGGAATAAGCTCGAATCCACTAAATCAAACAGCCAAATACAGCAAAAGTGTCAAGAACACACAGGAACACAAAGTTCCAACCTCAGCACCATAAATCTCTCAGTACATAAACGAACTCACACAAGAGTTCAAAAAATTAACTCTCACTCAAAGATCTATAAACAGATCACAAGAGAGAATCTCCAAATTACAGAGAGAACACGAAGAATAAAGGAAACTGCTGCCAAGGGAAAAATGAAAAGTATGTTGAAAATATCTCAAACCCTAGTAACAATAATAATTGATCCACGCAAGTCAGATCCAACGATCCATATTGCACCACGTGTCGCAAATCAAGGGTAAGTTGCTATTTCAATTCACAAAACACGCTTTTATCATTTAACAACCAATTCCAGATCCTTCTCACTGTTGGGCTTGAACCGGGTATCTATAAACAGATCACAAGAGAGAATCTCCAAATTACAGAGAGAACACGAAGAATAAAGGAAACTGCTGCCAAGGGAAAAATGAGAAGTATGTTGAAAATATCTCAAACCCTAGTAACAATAATAATTGATCCACGCAAGTCAGATCCAACGATCCATATTGCACCACGTGTCGCAAATTAGGGGAAAGTTGTTATTTCAATTCATAAAACACGCTTTTATCATTTAACAACCAATTCCAGATCCTTCTCACTGTTGGGCTTGAACCGGGTCAGGTAAGTTGGGCTGGACCATCACACAGATAAAACAGCAACCCAATAACACTAACACTGTCCTTGAAGCCAAAACCCGTGCTCTTTGTGTAGTTTCTGGGAAATCGTTTATCAGGTTTTCCCATCCAGATGGGATGGAAGCTAAAAATTTTGATTTTTTTGTGGTGCTATGTCATTTGATAGAATCTGGGACGAGAATAGTCTTTCCGAGTGTTCTAAACGTGGAGAATCTCCTGTTTTCATCGTCAGTTGGAACGACCATTTTTTTGTCCTGAAGGTCGAAGCAGATTCTTACTACATCATCGAGGAGCGACTCTACGGGGGATGCAATCAAGGTTTTACATTGAAATTCGACAGGGATACGACTATCTACAGACTTCTAGATACCAGACAATCTTCAGAAGAAGAACCTATTGATGATAAGCAGAACGTTGGTGCTGTGGAGTCTGATAACTCGAATTTAGAGCAGCATGTGGAACCAAAGGAGGGTATGAAAGAAGGGACACCAGTGAATGACCCGATGATCCAATCACGAGTGAAGAAGAAGAGGTTGTTTGTCGAGGTCAAGAGTCGTGTAAAATGTAAATTAAGAGTTTGTTGGCTGCAATACCAATGAGCACATCTGTTGAAGTTCGATTCTCTGAGTGCATCGTTACCGCAGAACGTTGGTGCTGTGGAGTCTGATAACTCGAATTTAGAGCAGCATGTGGAACCAAAGGAGGGTATGAAAGAAGGGACACCAGTGAATGGACCCGATGATCCAATCACGAGTGAAGAAGAAGAGGTTGTTTGTCGAGGTCAAGAGTCGTGTAAAATGTAAATTAAGAGTTTCTTGGCTGCAATACCAATGAGAACATCTGTTGAAGTTCGATTCTCTGAGTGCATCGTTACCCAACGGAATTTTCAAGAGAAGACACAGTAAACACTCGTGTTTCTGTTCTTATAAACTTATTAATGTAACTCACAAGAGGCCTGAGAAACGAAGAAAAAACTTGTACTAACGAGAATGATAACTCAATGGATTTATAGTAGTTGGTCATTTTGCAGAGTGCTAGACTGCTATTACAGAAACAGTACAATATTCACAACACATCTAGAAATATCAAGAAAAACATTTAGAGTGTGTTTGATTGACATGGAAAATATCATCTAGAAAAGAAAATGTTTTCCTTCTTTTGTGGAAAATAAAAACTACCTTCACCCAAAGAAAATGTTTTCCTTAAAAACAAGGAAAATTAGGCATATTTTTAAAAGTTGGAAAATGTTTTCCATGGAAAAAATTAGCAATCAAACACCTCAAGTAGAAATTTGAATGGAAAATTGATATTTTTCATGGAAAATAAATGTAATCAAACACACTCTTATTTCTAGCAGCAAAACTGAGCACTTAATTTATCCACTTTCATTGCAATCTGGACCCCTTATGGTTGATAATACATTGGCTTGCTCCTCCGGAGCGATTTTCCGTCTGCCATTGCAGTGGAAACATAAAACAAAATGCATTCCAGCACAAGCATTGCAAAGAGTATTTGATTGAGTTAAGGATATCCCTTGTAAGAGTTTTCTTAGCTTTCCCTTTTCGTGCAATCCTACGACTGCATCAACCCCTCCAATGTTTCTACCTCTGATGAAAACCCTCGGGGGAACTACTCGACTTCCGAGTACTCTCCACAGCTCGTCTCTATATTCCAAGTGCATCGAAACATCTCTTTCGTAGTGAACTACTCTAAAACTCTCCAAAAGAAACCGGATTGCATTACAGTCTTCGAAAGTTTTCCAGATTCCTCTCAGGCCGGTGGTGTAGGGTATGACTGAATCAGTTCCATCTGGAGGACATCTCTCTTCAAAGTCCGTTAGAGATGGGAATTCATCATTATCCTCCTTCCTTTCACGGCTTCCAGAATCTTCCATGCCATTCAGCTTGCAGCAAGGTGCATGAATGAGTTCAGAATGGCCCTCGATTTCTCCCATTAGTGGTTGACAAGCTGATTTGCCAATCTCTAATAAATGATCAACCTCGGATAATAATTGTACCTGATGTTGATCTTATGTAGGGTCGAAACTTTTCATCATATGGCACATTGTTTACGAGTCCTGATACACTGATATTGCTGGCTAATTAGTTAGGAAGATTTTCATTGCTGTGTTCTTTGTGAGAAGTTGAGGCTTGAAAGAATGAAAAACTAGGCCTTGTTTCTGAGCGATTGTCGAAATGTTTTTGAGCTTACTAAGGATTCACGCTTTCACGTTCTTTCTTGAATAGGGATCACATGTGCTGACAACAAACTAATAAGAGAAGACTCTCGAATCACCTCACTTCAACACGTCCCTTCACCATGGACTCATAATTCAGTCCCAAGGAAGCCAAAGCAGCCCTTTTTTTATTTGGTTCCTTCCCATTCTTCGTATTAGACTTTTTGGATATAAAGTAGGTTTGGTGATTAAACCTTTTCACCAGCAGCCATGAGCCATGTCCCTGTAAGTCAATACCTTATTTACATGTTCGGTTGGACGATACTAATAAAAAAATTTATCAAAAAATCATCTCAATTATATTCCTTAATCTTTTTCAATATGACACACCAAACAAGCATGTAAAGCAATACTTGGTGAAAGCATATCAGACTTGCATTGCATTTAGGACCGAGCTACATAGCCCGCGCGGGTGATCGCATGATTTACATAATACACGCACATGGGGACCAGGATTATTTTATTCATGGAGGACCCATGTCGGCCATGTGAAAGTGATGTCACCTAAAGTGTCAACAGTGCGGGTCGTTTGGCCTTTTCCCTGTATTTATAACTAACATAGTCAATGAATATGAATAATTATAAGAATCCCTCTTCGCCTCCTACACAAATAAAAAATATTAAACTAGTTGAGAACCCTATGGAAACTCAATAAATACTCGAATTTCGAACCCAAATTAATGACATGTCACGGTTGTGATAGAAATCATTCAAAAAGTGGTCCAAAGATTATTATATACACGTTAGTTAAGGTACATTTCTATGATTACAGAATACATATTGATGGATAACGCTTGAATGTCTTGATTAAGGCCTTGGATACTTCAATCCTGCATGTAAATTAAAGATTGTTTCCATCCACCGCCATCAATACACCACAATAATTTATTTTTATATAAATTTTACATGAACTGTTAGTTTAGGAAACAAACGGTAAGTGCCCACTTGATTTCGAGATGTTCTCAAGAAAGCTCGTAAGTGGAAATTGTAAACAGTCTCAATAAAGAAAAAGGATTAATCAGGATTGACAGATACGAGGTTTATTCCATCAGGAATAGAAACTTTTTATTTACATCTAAAGCCTGGAATTCGATGGAGCGAATCCTCGAGAGCACTTAACTGGAAGCCAAAGTTTCTGATGCCGTAAGCCCAATGCTGAAGTAGAAAGTAATGCAAGTCAATTGCTTCTTGTTCTCATCCACCATTGACATTTTAAGAGTGTACGAACCCTGGGTATGTCAAGAAGAACGTTAGTTCCAAGAAAAAAAAATAAAAAATAAAAAATCATGGCACTTTCTCCAATTTTTGTATTTTCTTTGCTTCCCTTTAATCGTTTTCTTTGTTTGTGTCGTGTGGGCAAAATGAATTTTTTCAGTGGATACTCCTCATTTCATCAGAGTGCAATACATGAAGTTAGACTTGACATGGTTTGCAATAACGGGAATGCTAGACATCATCGACATGATACTACTGAAACATAGTAAAAAAAGGTGACTTACGGGTGGGGTAATTCCAGGTAAAGATTGGGAATGCGAAATCACAAAATCACCCACAGAAACTGGACAGGCCGTCTTTGCACAGAGGTCATGGGTCTCACCATGGACATGAAATCCAAAATATGAAACATCAATTGTAAGTTTCCCACCAGAGAATGCCCTATCTGCACGGCAAGTTCAAGGTAAATCTTCAGCTCACAAGAACAAGTTACACTTGAAGCAACATTCAGCAGAATATGCAGCATGTTTGAAATTATAATCTTTAATAAGATTCTCTAATTGCATGGTTTATATCAACTCATTAGCGTGTGATAAATCTTCTTTCATTTGGCAGTCTCTTTTTCTCCACAGATTCCAAACTAGGTTATAAAATGCCACCCAACTCAAGTGAAAGGATGAAGAAATACTCTAAATAAATGAAAGCTTGTTGCATTATTGACGAAAGCATAACTGGATATACATCAAAAGGTCTAAAAATGATCAGCATACTAAAAGCACACACAACGGGGTGAAGCCGCAAGATAAAGCCAGTCAATATAAGGAAAATGGTAATGCAAAAGGTCTACATCTACGTACAAAATGGTGAGAATCAATGAATCCCCAAAGGATTAGCCAACGTGATTATTACTCCCAAAACATGTGAAGAATCACAAGTACAAACTACCATAAAATCTGCTGGGGGTGCGGGTGGGCATTATTAATAATGCCAAATACGTTTCTAGCAAGAAACCAAATGTTGCTCCTTTTTGTTTCTGTCCTAGGTGGATAATTAGAAGCCAAAAAGTAATTAATGCTGTCTTACAGTTCTTAAGCATGGTAGCTAGAAATAGTGTACTTACGGGATAACTATTGTCTTGGCATCAATCAAACATGTTGCTATGAAGAAATAAAAATGCTATTAGAGTTCTCAAACAAAGGAATTGTTACATACTAGATGGCTATCGTCCAAGTAATCAAAGTAGAGTACATTTCGCAGCACCCAGTGATCTCAAAATTTAAACTTGTGCTGATCTAATGCCAATGAGCTTATGATACATTCTTCCATTGATGGTACACGAAAATTAGAGGGAGAAAGTGAGAATTTAGGACAGAATAGGGGATACATAGTGAGCGAGGCATCTAGTCCTACTACTTTATTCATTACCAATAAGTTAGAAAACCAAATTAAACCCATAATGCATACTTTAAAGTCGACCATCAAAGATCAGTAAAAAGACATGCTACTGATGCTTCTCTTTTATACATACGGGAATTGGTCGATAAGAAATATAAAACACAGAAAAATATAGGAGGTATAAGAAGCAGTACCTTTCAGATAAAAGAAATGGATAAGAGGAAAGTTATTAATCTCATCTTCTGGTTTTCCATACAAGATATTAGCACAAGTACTTTACCATTCAAAGGTTATATTGAATAAGAGTAAGAGAGTACTATTCCTCTTTCTTGCAACCTACCTTCCACCTTGGAAAAATGAGATAAAATACACCTCTGTCGCATAAAAACTGGTTCTTTAACTTTTCAAGGCCAAACACTTTGTAAATGGATTTTTTAAATATGCCTTGCCAAAAAATCCGATTCTCGGGAATATTTTGCTGAAGCAAACAAATTTACTGAATGAATTACCATTCATTTAATATTTGGAAACATAATCAAGTGAATGCTAAAATACATATAAATGCTACCATCTTGAGTCTATTTTGCATTTAGAGAAGTACCAAAACTAATGAAACTCAATTTGACTAAGTCGAAGTCACGGTATTTTTCGATGAAGGAGTACTATTTTCTAGGAAAATGTTCCGTCCATTTTATATCACAAAGAAGCTATCAGAACAACAAAGTAAACAAAAAATGTTCTCAATTTTTTACTGAAAAGACATGTATGCAAAGTACTCGTAACACTGACAAATGCTTCAGCAGAAAATGAGAATTATAAAAATCAAATTCCAGTGTGTGAAGCCTATGAAATCATGCTATTACCAGAAGATGCAGCAATGCTGAAGGTGGTCTCTTTGCCTCTAGAAATAGGGAAAGGAGTTATCTCGACTCCACTGACCTTAACATCGTAGTTAGCCTTCTTATCTGTATTTCATTTGGAGAAGGGCAAGACCAAAAAAATTATAATCAACAAAACAACATAGAAATAAAGATTTCTCTTAGAAAATGCCTCTTAACAAACCAAATTTTAATTCTTGATTATATTGTTTAAGGTTCCATTATCCAATCAATCATCAAAACAAAAATCTTGGCCTATGATATGAATAAAATCAGTAACCACGCCATCAATTTATATAGACTACCAGGATAAAACAAATTTTGGTTGAAACATAACCTTCGATGAAATTTCATTAAAATACCAAACTCGCGGTAACAAGTTACTCTTGAAGGAAAGATTATTCTTTAAGATGTCGAATTTCAAGAAACTTGGAAAAACAGCTCTGAAATCCAAACCCAATCAGCTCCTCCAGAAAAATTAGGAACGGTAAAAACCTAATCTTAAAAACAACATGATTGAGTATGAAAAGAAGAAATCAAACAGGCTGACTCACTGTACGAAACTACAGAGACTTAAATACAATTGAAAAATAAGTGAGTACAGGGAAGGTCTAGAACTCATCTACTACTCCAGAAAATATTTTTAAAAAGTTAAGAATGCGTTTGGTTTGTCATTTTGAGCCATTTTCAATTTTTAGTTTTTGAAAAACACTCAAAAAGGTGTTTGGTACGATATTTTCAAAAATGCGATTTTGAAAACAAGGAAAATTTTATAACAAAAAACTCGAAACAACTTTCTAACGTTTTGAGGGTTTTCAAAACAAGAAAAATGAGCTTTAAAAATTTTCAAATTAAAATAATTAATAAAATTACACACAACTTACCCAAATACAAATACCCCCTTCCCTCCCTCTCCCTCTCCCTATCTCCCGTGCTCCTCCGAAATGTCATAAAACTATTTCTAAAGTTTTTAAACTAAATGCGTTTTCTAATTTTTTGTTTTGTGAAACAGTTTTTCAAAATGACAAACCAAACAACTTTTTTTGTAACACTAAAATAATCACTAAAAACAGAAAATAGAAAATGAATTTAAAACTGAAAACAAAAAAAAAAAAAAAACCAGAATGCAAACCAAACGCACCCTTAATTTCAATAAATGTGAAAAACTGTTATGAAATCCAAACCAAGCAATTGCTCCAAGAAAATTTAAATTATACAGGAGTGGTGAAAAACCCTAATCTTGAAAAAAGAAATCAAACTAACAGATTGACTAAATGAAACTACAGAGACTATAACTCGCGGTAGAAAAACACACGAAGTAAAGGGATTTTGGGGGAATCATACTGCAGTAGTGAACGTCGGTGGACTTAGCAGAAATCCAAGGTAAAAGCAGACAAAGCGAGAAAAGAAGAGCAGTAAGAGGCTTCAACTGAACCATGGCTACTCCTTGATTAATTTAGAGAGAGAAAGAGAGAGATGGCTTCTGGTTGAAAAGAAAGTGACTGAATGCTTGTTATGGATGGTCTCGCCGAACAGAATACATTGGTTTAATTTCATCAGCGGCCCAGTAACTTTGAGAAAATATTCTATTGAACCACTGAACTTTTTGTTTCAAATGTTAAAGCCTCGAATGGATAGAAATTGCTTAGTTAGCAGTTAAATTGTAACGTGCCTCACACATTATCGAGTCAACTCGACATTGGACCAGGCGAATAAAGTGTCAAGTGATGCAAAGTATAAGCATAGATACTTTTTTAAAGTGATTCAGTATTAAATTGGAATGCTACCGAATAATTGCGTGAAAGATCGGTTATGATTTAGCTTCTCATTTGGGGAATCATGGGTGGTGGAACTTGACATAGTGAGGACTAAAATTTCATAATTTAATTGAACAAATTGTAAGGTTCCCAACACAAGTAATCACTCTTCTGATTTGACCTACATTATTTCTAATTATAATGAGTGAAATACTATTTTTTTTTTTTGAGAATAAGTAGTTGATAAAAAAAGAACATATTTTGTGTAATATTATTTTATGAAATATTACGTGATTAAAAATATAAAAAAAAAATATAATTTAATTTAATGGGACTGAACGGAGGCTTTGCAAATTTCACCTCCAAAACTCAAAATCGC